GAACGTTGAATAAAGCTCCCTCTGAATAGTCAGCCCAACCATTAAAGTATCATTTAATGATAGAGCCGTTGACGACTTACTATAAGCGTCAAACACCACAAGCAATTTGGTTGTGGTGCTTTCAGGCCTCAGGACACATTGATGAGAAATATAGTAGTGCTGTCCTGGAGGAGGAAATTCAAGAGCTGAAATATGCCCAAGATCGCGATACTCTCTCATGAAGTCACGGTACATGTCATGGAGAGCTTTGTCTTTTGCGATTTTGCGCTAACGTTGCACAAATCGTCTTTCAGCAGTTTGAAAGGAAAGGCCTAGTACAGTGGAATCGGATTTGAACGGAAGCTCGACTTGGAAACGACCTGTAGACAGGCGCTGTACTGATTTTGTGAAGTGAGCTTCACAGGCCCTTTGTTCAGCTGTCTGGCGCACAGTCACAGCGTTGAACTAGAGTGTCGAGAGACAAACATTAACTTGAAAGGCAACGTTAACACTGAGTTCTTCACGAGGTATTTGTCCTGTATACCTACCAGCAACAACCCATCCCAGCAAGGTCTTCTGCAACAATTAAAGACCCGAATTAAGCTTGATTTTCCCAACGCACAACAAGCCGTAAAAGAACGCCTAGAAGAATGTCAACCTTGGCTGCTTTGTAAATCTCTGGGTCAGCCAACTCGTTGTGGACAAGTTACAAGGCTGACAAATGGATATGGATTTAAGAACACAAAAATCAGTGGCAAAGTTGTGAGCATTCAAACGAGATTGAATAGCAGCACACACCTCGTGCTTACTACCAGTTGTGGTCCCACCTGCCAGTGCAACTGCAGTGTCTTCACGCTTTAGTCGCAAGCACTGCGCAAGGTTCTCAGCCATGAGATTCAACTGTTAGCCGCCGTCAAGTAACACACGAGCAGGATGGTATTGGCCGAATCTATCTTTAATATTTACCAATGCTGTGGCAAGAATTACTTGATCGGCACTCAAGACATGACCTAAATATGCTTCTGGAGGTGCGACTGCTTGTAGAACGGGTAAGTTTGGCACAGCTACAGAGTATCTGTGCAACAACGAATGGTGTGGTTTTGAACACACCCGACACTTGGAAGCTTTGCAGCTGGAAACTATATGACCCACATTCAAACAATTTAGGCACAGCTTTTGAGTCTTAGCAAACTCAATTCGCTGCATAACGGGAAGAGATCCGAAAGATGGGCATGTATAAATATTGTGATCTGCAGAGCTACAATATGTGCACTTCGAAATCGGGTTTGAAGGCTTTGACGAACCCGTTGTGCAAGAAAACGAAGCTTTACTGTTTCTTGCGGGTTCGCCTCGCTGTTTATTTTTAACCCGAGTTATCTCTTCAGCTGCTAAATATTGGTAACGTCTGTTTAACTGCTTAGCGCAGTCATCCCAAGACGGCAACTCGTCATGGTTACGTGATCGATTTTGGCCATGACCATATGAATGATCATTGCGTTCGAAATATCTTTTTCACTCTCCAACGAAGTTAAAGACTCATAAATGGCAGAAACAGTGTCAATGATGGACCGCAAACTAGACGGTCATACTTGTGATGTCAAACAATTGCGAGATAGTGCCGAAAAATATCAATATCAGACTTAAGGCTGGCAATGGCTTTCGAGTAGTTGCAATCCGTTACCTGGTCCGGTTTCACAACTTCTAGAGCCTCACCTGACAAGCACGACACCAAATGATTAAACTCCTCGACGTTGGCCAACGAAGGATCGTCATGTACTAGGTTTTCAAATAAGCACATAAAATTCTTAAATTCGGCATGCTTTCCACTGAATGTAGGCTGCCAAATTTGGGTAACTGTGATCGTTGACTCGATATTATAGAACAGTCATGAGATGTCTGACTTTCAACTTTTTGTTTCGTTGCCTTAACATACATTGCCTTAGTTGCAATGCACAAATCCTCAAGTGGCCCTTTACTTCGTTATTTGGATTGAGACTATCCAAATCTGTAACAAACGAGTGGTTCGCTTACTGCCGCCACAAGTCAGCGGACCAGCATAGGAACGTACATATGTACAAAGGAGAGCGCCATAGAGAGCGCAGTAAAGGGCGATATAGAGAGCACAAGAGAAAGGTTTAAAAACTAAGTAGGGTGCTCCAACAATGGGCAAACATGTTCTGCGTATTCATATAAGGCATCTTGGAGTAAAATTTGGTGCCTCTAGCTCTTAAAGTCTCTGAAATCTAGGTATTCATATGGGAAGACGGTCAGAACTAAGTAGATATGCTCGTATGGACGTGCTAATCAAGAATATATACACTTTTAAGTCTCTGCACCACCCCTTTCTGCCTGTTACATTTTTCACATCCCGCAGACCTTTTATACCTCAGTAAAATAATTATATGTGACAAACTATTTTTGCTGTATATGCAGAGTATTAGGTAACGGCACTTTATTTTTAAGAATACAGTCTGTTTTGTTTATCTCTTCTTATGTATACACAACTATCATTTCCTTGTTCTCTGCATATTTACAATTCGCTCGCTGCTCCGCTTCATTAATTGGTTTTAAAAGGTTTAATTACAAGAATTTTATTCTAAATTTAAACCTGAGTATACATATATGTTATAAAATGCTTTTGCCTAAATATTGGTGTATTAGACTGTACAAAATGCCGCGTGGAAATAGCCTTTCGGAGTATGAGCAAGGATTAATCATTGGAATGCATGAAAGCGGTTCCAAAAATTTGAAACTGCTAAAAAACTCAATCGTCATAAAAATACTATTAGTAATTTCCTCAAAAAACCGAGTGAATATAAAACAACACCACATAATCCATGAAAATCCGAGTCTTAAACATACAAGTACTACCATGGTATCTAAACCTAAGCTTTTACCTCGCCATATGAAGGCACGTATTGAGTTCGCACACAGATACAAATTCTGGGAGGAGGAATGGAGTAATGTCATTTTCAGTGATGAAAAAAAGTTTAATCTGGACGGTCCTGATAGATGCAAAAAATATTGGCGCGATATGCAACAGGATCGACGCACGTGTTATAAGCGTTGTCATGGTGGGGGGACGGTAATGGTATGGGCTGCGTTTTGCTACAAAGGAAAGAGTCCAATGTGTTTTATAGGATGAATGCCAAAATGTATGTTGACCTATTGGACGACGAGTTAGTGGAGTTTGGTGTCCAGTTATACGGCGATGAGTGGACCTTTCAACAGGATAATGCTCCAATACATAGTGCCAAGCTGATCACCGAATATTTTAACGAGAAAAATATTCCAGTTTTAAAGTGGCCAGCAATGAGTCCGGACCTTAATCCAATTGAGGATCTCTGGGGTATTCTATCCGCTGAAGTGTTCAAAAATTGCCGGCAGTTTGAGACAGCAAAAGAGCTTAAATTGGGCCATAGAGCAAGAATGGGAAAAAATTGACCTATCCCACTTAAAATCATTGATTACCTCCGTGCCATTTCGCTTAAGTTCGGTAATAATGAATAGCCTATTTGTTATTAATTTCACTTAATTATATCGAATTTAATTCATTTAAGTTGAGTAATCCCAATAAGTTGAGCATATCATGAAAAGTCACATATAATTATTTATAATGAAGAAAAAGTTTACATTAAGTTTTATATGTATTGAAATACGATTTCTCTTTTTTCTTATTTTTTGTTTTCCATTACTATAAGCAATAAAACTGCAAACCTAAAATTTTTTACTTGCACGAGTACTTTTTTAAACTTACAAAAATATAAGACACATATAAGTATTTTACTGAGGTATTCTTGTACTTTTAAGATACAGGGTATAAAATATAGCAAAGTTAAGACTTCAATTGAAGAGCGATCCATCAGCAGATCAATTTTTAAATCAATTGTTGAAAGTTGAGTATTTGTACAATGCCAGTCAGCAGAATAATAATAACCGTTTCACTCATAAGAACTGAATCTTAGTTAGGCTAGCACGCAATACTGGACAGAAAGAACAAATATACCAATGGAATACCAGCTCCATTATTCGCATTCAAATCAGTGAAACGGCATGAAGTGATTAATTACCCACAGCGGAATAGATTTGCCAGGATTACCGTCACACGAATTGCAGGTAATAATTCGAGGACTAATTGGCGCAAAGCATCAACCAACCAAAACTACAAGAAAGGAATGCTCAAGTCGAGCAGGATCAACTCTTAAATACCCTGTAAATTCCACGTAAAAGGAAAAAATGAAAAAAAATTAAAAAAATTATATTTATTAAATTAAATACAATTTATTCAATACATATATACAAAAGTGGAGACATGTTCAACAGCATACAGTTACATCAGAATCGTGTCTCTGCGTGTTTATATGCAGCACAAAGTTGAACCAAAGCAGCAACAACAACAGCTGCGGGCAGAGCTGCAGTCAGCGCATAGGCATCGATTTTTTTATTGCTATAACTTCTTCAGAATTTACCAATCATGATAAAACTTAACATACGGACACATAATTACTAACTGGATGTATATGCCAAATTTGAGTTCAAAATTCCAAGAATTACAGGAGCTATGAAAAACATGAATTGCGGGGAAGTGGGGGGTGTATCAGAAAAAAAAAAACCACAAACTCGTCCTTTCTCGGACTTAGGAGAATCTGGATACCAAGTTCGGTTGTTCTAGCTCTTATACATGCTAAGATCCTTGCGTTCATACAGACGGACATGGCTATATCGACTCGACTTGTCATCCTGATTAATAATATATATACTTTGTGGGGTCTGCCACGCCTCCTTCTGTATGTATGTATGTAACATTCGCACAAAACTAGTATAGCCTTTTACCTTTTGGGTACAGGCTATAATAAGCACCAAACCAGACGTCAAAAAAATTCGAGAAATGCGATAGATTCGCCGTTGCCATTAAATGGACTATTGAAGATACACAACCTTTAGACAATATAATTTTTTCTCGACGTTAAAAATATCAGACCAAACTCAGAGTACCATTTGCGATGGTATTATAAAACGTATTTAGATTACAAAGAACCATTTTTATTAAATTTCTATATTACAAATATAAAGTCATCTGGCTAAAGCTGTTTATCATTTCTTCTCTTACGCAAAAGAGCTCGTTCTAAATCTCGAGCTTTTTGTTTTCTTCCTAGTACGAAAAAAGAAGGCCTATCAGATGTTGCTGTTTCTAGGGCAACATCATTTTTAGGAAAAAAATCCGTAGCTTTTGACGTTAAATAATCAGACGAATTAAAGTTGTATTCATCGTTTGAATTTGCTAATTGTCTTCGAAATATTGCCGCACTTTTTGATACCCGAGCCTTCGGATGTGACGGAGGTAACCATGATACTTTGTGAGATATCGGGTTATAGAAATAATAGCAATCACAACCGGGTTCATATATTTGTTTCCATCTCTCATCTAATGGATATTTTCGAAGTAGTCTTTTGTAGCGACGTAAGTAGTTTTCATTTGGCTTTTGCCGATCAATGGGCCATCGGTTGACACAATACAATGTACACTTATGCCAAATATTATATTTATTCGGACAAAATTTATATCCATGGTATGATTCTGCAACTCCTATTCGTTCTTTCATACGATCAGGCCACAGATGTTCTTCAGATAACTTTTTAGTCTCCACGAATTCATTTCTTATTTGGTGGTGCACCTTTTCGTCCTCGTCATAATTTTCTGCAATAATCTCTTCTAGCTCGTCCGGGTTATGCAATAAGTCTGAAATACAGAAATACATACTTTAACAAGATAGAACGCAACAGTCAAGCAAGCCCGACAAAAAAGAAAAAATTAAGTACAGGCTATAAAAAGACGAATTTCGGGGGAGTGGGGGGGGGGGGGGGGGGGGTGGATCAGAATAAAAAAATAAACTTGACCTGTCTAGGGCTTAGGGGAACCTGGATACCAAGTTTGGTAATTCTAGCTCTTGTACCTTCTGAGATCCTTGCGCTCATACAGACGGACATGGCTAAATCGACTCGGCTTGTCACCCTGATCAAGAATATATATACTTGGTGGGGTCAGCCACGCCTTCTTCTGTGTGTTACATACATTCGCACAAAACTAGTATAGCCTTTCACCCTTTGGGTACAGGCTATAAAAAGGACTTCTTTATGAAAATTACCATATTAAATTACAGAAATTGTGAATCCACTTGAAAACATTTTTTACAGTCTACATGAAATGTACAAGAGTATATTAGGTTTGCGCGAGCTGAAAAATGAAACAGGCAGAAGGCAGACCCTACAAAGTATATATATTCATGAACACCTGGATCTCAGAGAATACGCAGAAAATGTGTACATATTTTGGAATTTCCCTCCATCCCCGCTCTTCCACGCAATCACTTATTTTTCATAACAGTAATTTTTGGAATTTTTGACTCATATTCGCAAATACCTCCAGTTAGTGAATATGAGTCCGTATGCCAAGCATCATAATGATAGGCGGATTTAACAGGTTAACAAGTTATGGTCATATATGTATATATGACCAAGCAGTGCTAGGACATAAAGTACAATAAATACTATGTATGGTATGTATGTTTGTATATACATACATATGTATGTAAATCAAGGCAAGTCATTTCTAGAAATGAAAGCTGTATATTTGGCAAAGTTATTTGGTCAACTTATGCAACTGCACAACATTTAAAAGAGCATATGTAAGTTAACACGACCACTCAGCGACAAAGTTGTCAAATCTACATAGCAGAGCTGGCGTGATAATAGTGCAAGATCAGCAACGTCCGCGGATATTGCACAACGAAAACCGTCATTGCAGAGTGCAACGCTCCGCGATGTAAGCAGCTGATATGAGACACCATGCACGAGGCGCAGTGTCAGCATGTTTGAGGTACAGGGCTAGCTTTAGTTATAAGAAATAATGTTCTTAGCAGTTAGTTGACTTTTGGAGATTAAACCGTTGGGAATACACGAGCTCTTGTCTTTTATTAGTGCAACAATGCACTGTATTAATTGAATAATAAATCCTTAGTCGGTCGAACATAATAATCACCAACGTCAGGAACTTCTTAATTGGCGCCCAACGTGAAAAAACCCAAAAGTCACTCAAATTGCGGCAGCATAAAGCGTCACCATCGACAGCAGCAGCAAAAGAAAAAAATTAAATAATAAATTAATTTGATAAAACTGCTACAACAACAGCAACTGAAGCAGCATACAGCGTCAACACCGACGGCAGCAGCAGAAAACAAAAGTTAAATAATAAAGTGTTTAAATAAAATTTGTTGTAACAACAATAACTGACTGAAGCAGCATACAGCGTCAACACCGACGGCAGCAGCAGAAAACAAAAGTTAAATAATAAAGTGTTTAAATAAAATTTGTTGTAACAACAATAACTGACTGAAGCAGCATACAGCGTCAACACCGACAGACAAAATTGTTACAGCAACAACAAAACACAACGTCACCATCGACGGCAGCAACGGAATAAAAGGAAAAATTCCACCGGCAACAACAACAACTGAAGCAGCGTCAACACCGACGGCAGCAACAGAATACAAAAATTAAATAACAGATTTAAATAAAAAAAAAAATTTTTTTTTTTAAATCAATTCAAATTTAAAGAAGAATGTAATAAAATTTGTTACAAAGTTAAAATACCAATCTTTGCGTAGTGACAAAACTTATGTGTGATAGCGACATAGAAGATTTGCTGGACAAATTTAAAAAACTTGATAGTAAAGTCCGTGTAAAAAACCAAAACGAAAAAGATTTAGGTATGGCTATGTCTTCAGAGCAATTACAGACAGTAATAGAAGCGGCAGTCAACAATGCACTTGCCGATCAAAAAAGAAGTTTTGATGCACAGATACAAGATCTGAACCAACGTTTAGGCAGTGTCTGTGTTGGGGCTCCAGAAGTAGAAAAATACAGGGACGCAGAAATTCGTGCAATGATTAAGTGCAGTGAAACATTAGACATTGTGAAATCTTTGCCGGACTTCGAAGGAAAACATGAGACGTACGTCTCATGGAGGAAAGCGGCACACACCGCCTATAAAACTTACGAGAAATATGACGGTAGTTCAACACACTACCAGGCTTTAGGTATAATGAGAAACAAGATTAAGGGATCAGCGGACATGGTACTAGCATCATTCGACACGCCCCTGAATTTTAAAGCGATTTTAAATCGACTTGACTTTACGTATGCGGACAAACGCCCCATATATTTAATAGAGCAAAAAATGTCGACACTCCAACAGGGAAATTTGACACTCCTACAGTACTACGACGAAGTAGAGAAAAGAAACTCACCTTATTACCGAACAAAACGATCATGACTTACGACAACACCATAGGTGTCGCACTGAATGAAAAGTATAGAATGGACGCTTTAAGAGTGTTCATTTCAGGAACTAAGAAATCATTGAGCAACGTTCTGTTTTCGGCAGGATCGAACGATCTTCCTTCCGCTTTGGCTCTGGCCCAAGAGGTTGAATCCAATCACGAACGCTACACGTTCGCCAGTAATTATGCTCGAAGTATAGAGGAAAGGGCCCAAAGGAATGAACATAGGCAACAAGCCAGAGACAAAGTGCCGGCAGGGGAAAACGGTAATAACACATATTGGAAAAACCCCCATTTTAGTAAACGACAGGCACCTCCTAACGGACCTCCTCAGAGACAAGAACAACCTCAACCAATGGAGGTAGACAATTCATCAAGGTTTAGACAAGTCATGCAGTATCAAAACCAGGGTAATACTAACACTCAGGGACAGGCCGACAAAAGACCAAAACACCAAAGAATGAATCATTTGACCCAAGATGATTCCCTGCCGGACCCAGACACTTTTGAATACCAGACTGACGCAAACCAAGAGGCAGATGACATTAATGATTAGGCACAACTCCCTGCTACCGTTTATAGAAAGAACAATTGCAGGGAGAAATATTAAACTTTTAATAGACACGGGAGCTTCAAAAAATTATATAAAACCATTACAGGAATTAAAGGGAGTCGTACCAGTAGACGAAACTTTTCGGGTAAAATCAATTCACGGTTTTAATACAATTAACCAGAAATGCGTATTGCATCTTTTCAACACAAATGCAACCTTTTTTGTACTACACAACCTTACGACATTTGACGGTATACTATAATTGGACTTGACTTACTAAAACAAGCGTAAAACTAGACTTTAAAAACCAAAGATTAATAACTGACACGGAATCAGAAAAAATACAATTTCTTAAATGTGCAAGTGTAAATTTCACAAAAGTTGAAGATATCGAAGTTCCCCAAAAGATTACACTAGAATTCCGGGAAATGTTAAAGAACCGAACCGATGTATTTGCAGACCCTAATCAGGCTTTACCCTATAACACAAACATAGTCGGCACTATTCTAAATTGGGCGTAGCAGACTTTGTAAATTCCGAAATGCGAGACTTGCTCAAGGATGGCATAATCAGACCATCAAGGTCACCATACAACAACCCCGTATGGGTCGTTGATAAGAAGGGAACTGACGAACATGGGAATAAAAAGAAAAGATTAGTGATAGACTTCAGAAAATTAAATTTAAAAACAATAGACGACAAATACCCTATACCAAATATAACTTCCATTTTGTCAAATTTGGGGAAAGCAAAATATTTCACCACGTTGGACCTGAAGTCAGGCTTCCATCAAATCCTACTCGCGGAAAGGGATAGAGAAAAAACAGCTTTTTCAGTGGGAAACGGGAAATACGAACTTTGCAGGCTTCCTTTTGGCTTGAAGAATGCACCAAGCATTTTTCAGAGGGCCATTGACGACGTACTTAGAGAACAGATCGGGAAATCATGCTACGTTTACGTCGATGACGTCATAATCTTCTCAGAAAACATGAACGATCATGTAAAACACATAGCATGGGTCTTGGACAAATTATACCAAGCCAACATGAGGGTTTCGCGAGAAAAACCCAAGTTCTTTAAAGACAGTGTGGAATTCTTGGGCTTTGTGGTATCACGCGGTGGTATCACTACATGCCCTAATAAGGTAGAAGCTATTCGTAACTACGAACAACCAACCACACTGTTCAATGTCAGATCCTTTCTTGGATTGGCAAGTTATTACAGATGCTTTATTAAAGACTTCGCATCAATAGCAAGGCCTTTGAGTGATATCTTTAAGGGTGAAATCGGAAAAGTTAGCGCTGGCCAGTCAAAGAAAATACCAGTGAGTTTCGACCAAAAGCAATGCGAGGCATTCAGTAGGCTTAAAGAGGTTCTTGCATCGGAAAATGTAATGTTACTCTATCCCGATTATAAGAAGCCGTTTGACCTAACAACCGACGCCTCGTCCTTTGGTTTGGGGGCAGTCTTGTCTCAAGACGGAAAACCCATAACTATGATATCTAGGACTTTAAAGGATAGAGAGCTGAATTTCGCCACAAACGAAAGGGAGTTGCTTTGGAGAAAGGAGGATGCACAGTCCGATATTGCAATGATACATAGCGAGATGTCACTCACTTACACTGTTGAATCAACACACAAACCAGTCAACTGCTTTCGAAACCAAATAGTAATAGAAGAAAGTGGATCTGCCTCAGATAGGAGTATTATTATGTTTGTTTATACATTTCTCAAGTAGAGAAACGTTAATTCGGAGGGTATGTGACGCGGTCAAGAAGGAACTACCAATACTAGCATTCATTCAACATAAACTAATAGAAACATACCCTACGACGACATTCCGTTATA